TGAAGAACATCATCTATGGAAAAGTTGAAAAGAAACGGATAGATAGGGCAAACCTGTCGTATCCCACTGGTGACAAGAAATGGGGGTGAAAGTTCACCATAGGCCATAACCTTCCCCGAGATCTGGTGATAGAACTTTTAGGAGTGAGACATACTTACATACTTACATGCATACATACTCCGTATCTCCGTAAACAGTTCCACAGCGCGGGGCAATCGATGGTGTCGAAGGCCACTCTGATTTCCAAAAACACGACAATGGTCTGCCGTCTTCATGTGTGGCGCTGTTCTAGTGGCTGACGGAGGGTGAAGATTTGATCTATGCAGCCACGGCGTACACGAAACCCAGCCTGCCCCTCGCTGATTTGCTTTTCACGAAATGAGCTTAACCTGCGTAATAAAAGGGACGCCAGCAGCTTCGGCGCTATTGGAATCAGACTTATGCCCCTGTGGTTGGAACAGGCGTTGCGGTAGCCTTTCTTGTAGATGGGTACGACAGTTGATTCTACCCATATGTGGGGTACACTTTCAGTTTCCCAGATCTTCGAGAACAGTCTCACAAGTTCTCTCACGAGAGGTTCCTCGCTATCTTTAAAGAGGGCAGATGGTAGACCGTCTGACCCAGCTGCCTTGTGGCGTTTCAGGGCTTATAGTTCCTTTCGGATTTCCGCTTCTTTTGGTGGTCCCGTGGATAGTGTCCGGGGTGCACTCCCAAGAAAACTGCTTGGGATAGCCAACGCGGAGGGTGTGTGTGTGTGTGGTTTAACTGCGATGTAAAGTGCTCTGCCCAGCGTTCCAAGTTTCGGTGAAGGCTGTATATTAGCGTACCGTCTACTTCGCAGATTGTTTCACTAACGCACCGTCTTTTAGGGCTTGTAACAGGGATGAGCTGGAATAGTCGCCGAGTGTTTCCACACCTAGCTGCAGATTCCATCTCCCTTGTAAATAGCGTCCACCAGGCCTCTCGGTCGTTCAAGCTTCAGAGAGAGGCGCTGTTCATTGTACTCGCGGTCCGCCNTTGATCTACGCTTCTTGGTGGGGTAGTAGTTAGCCCTGCGGCCAATTCGTTTGGTAATCAGCTAGCACGGCCGGGTCAGAGAGCTTGGCAACGTCAAGCTGTTTGCATCGCATCTTCTTGTGGTCACCAAATCGCAAAGACAACTTGGCACAAACCAGTGC